CGTCTTATAAGTAGGTCACCAACCTCTCGCTTGCGTGCTTGCCAGCTAGTATTTTTCAAATTAAACATGAATATTATTATTACATCGGATAACATAAATAAATAGACAAGTTACTTCCGCTGTTGTTAAGTTGTTTTAAATCGTAAACAATAATATTTAATAGACTACAATATGTAGGATAGCTTAAAGAAAAATATAGCTTACGTTAAATTGTTTTTTATTTATTTTTTTAAAGAGCATCCATTTAGTTATTCTTTATTCGAATCCTCAACAACTTGTCATAAACGTAGTTATAATATTAAAATAATACAATTATTAATGTCGACCTACCGGTATTTTCTGATTTTATTATTATTAAACTTTTTTATGATTGTTACATTTTGTGTTATCTTGGTATTTTGAAATCTTGAAGTTGGCATGTTTTAGGAGATCATGTTCAGACAGATGAGGTGACACGTACATTGAGAGGGAACATGTTCAGACAGATGAGGTGACACGTACATTGAGAGGGAACATGTTCAGACAGATGAGGTGAGACGTACATTGAGAGGGAACATGTTCAGACAGATGAGGTGACACGTACATTGAGAGGGAACATGTTCAGACACATGAGGTGACACGTACATTGAGAGGGAACATGTTCAGACAGATGAGGTGACACGTACATTGAGAGGGAACATGTTCAGACAAATGAGGTGACACGTACATTGAGAGGGAACATGTTCAGACAGATGAGGTGACACGTACATTGAGAGGGAACATGTTCAGACAGATGAGGTGACACGTACATTGTGAGGGAACATGTTCAGACAGATGAGGTGACACGTACATTGAGAGGGAACATGTTCAGACAGATGAGGTGACACGTACATTGAGAGGGAACATGTTCAGACAGATGAGGTGACACGTACATTGAGAGGGAACATGTTCAGACACATGACGTGAGACGTATATTGAGAGGGAACATGTTCAGACAGATGAGGTGACACGTACATTGAGAGGGAACATGTTCAGACAGATGAGGTGAGACGTACATTGAGAGGGAACATGTTCAGACAGATGAGGTGACACGTACATTGAGAGGGAACATGTTCAGACACATGAGGTGACACGTACATTGAGAGGGAACATGTTCAGACAGATGAGGTGACACGTACATTGAGAGGGAACATGTTCAGACAAATGAGGTGACTCGTACATTGAGAGGGAACATGTTCAGACAGATGAGGTGACACGTACATTGAGAGGGAACATGTTCAGACAGATGAGGTGACACGTACATTGAGAGGGAACATGTTCAGACAGATGAGGTGACACGTACATTGAGAGGGAACATGTTCAGACAGATGAGGTGAGACGTACATTGAGAGGGAACATGTTCAGACAGATGAGGTGACACGTACATTGAGAGGGAACATGTTCAGACAGATGAGGTGACACGTACATTGAGAGGGAACATGTTCAGACACATGACGTGAGACGTATATTGAGAGGGAACATGTTCAGACAGATGAGGTGACACGTACATTGAGAGGGAACATGTTCAGACAGATGAGGTGACACGTACATTGAGAGGGAACATGTTCAGACAGATGAGGTGACACGTACATTGAGAGGGAACATGTTCAGACACATGACGTGAGACGTATATTGAGAAGGAACATGTTCAGACAGATGAGGTGACACGTACATTGAGAGGGAAAAGGTGTTGTGACGTGGCTTGTCAAGGGGAACATGTTTAAATAGGTGAGGAAGTTTGGTCGCGCATAGGGTAATTTTTCAAAAGAATTTGGTATGAACAAGTACTTAATAATTTCTTTGTCTCAGACATGTAGTTTTAACCGTCCGTTTGTTCTTTTTTTTAAATTAAAATACTAGTTTCTAGTTCAGTTTATAGGATCTAGCTAAATGCGTTATATAAACTATGTTAACACATTTTCAAATACATCAAATTTTGGTTCCCTTGAAAAAGAGACAAGATATTTTCGTTTATTTTCATCTAAAAGAGCTGTGTGACGGGGAACGCCCCCCCCCCCACCAAAGATCGTGTACCGCCCACATCCCCCCCCCCAAGGACAAAATGGAATTTACATAGAAAATTTATACTTTTACCATTGTCCGCCTCCCCCCTCCCCCGAAAATTTCAAGTGTCCCCGGAGAAAAAAAAGTCAGGAAGAAATACTGTATTGGCCATGCACAGCTCATGCGAAAGCTAGAAAAAGAGAATAAAGTTGAGTAAGGTTTTCTCCACTTTGCGTATCACGTTAGGTGTGCACGTGTTAGTTAACCCAATTATTTGATTGGTCGCTATGTCACATGAACAGCGTTCTCCGTGCTGACATAACTTACCAAAAGTGTGGGTGAGGGGAGGGGGGAAATAAGAATGCGGTTAACTGGCGGTTGTCGCAGGCAAGGCAAGATGTCGGCATGACACTTATGCCGTCACACATGACTAAGTCAAACAAAATTTATAAAACAAATAATTGCTTATCGTAAATTTCGTCGCCCTCAGAACGAGCAAAAATAGCTAATCATTTAAGTGAAACATATCAGCAAATAAAAGCTGTATAAAATAAACTCGTAAATGTACGTTGATATACTCATGGAGCTGTTAGAGGACGCTCTCTCAGAACTGTGTGAGCCGGCAACAGATTGAAACGTTTTAAAATCTACGGATGAAAACACCTACATCATTATCGTGAAACCAAAGCTTTCAGTGGCAGAATGGCAACTTTTTTCTACATCGCTATCGACAGACAAGAAGACATTGAATAACGCTAGACACATCCAAGACATGTGTAAAATTCTCCATTTTAGATTTCATGGCGACAAGAAAAGATGGCGGCATAACACTTTAACCGCAAGACATAACTAAGTCAAACAAAATATATTAAAATGAATTGCTTATATTAGCTTTTGTCGTCCTCAGAACGACTGGGAACAAAAAAAAACCCGCAAAGATTGCTAAACATTGAGGTAAAACATATCACCAAATATCAACCATACAAAAGGAACTCGCAGATGTACGTGTATAGACACATTGGGCTGTTACAGAACCAGCTCGCGGAACTAGAAAAAAAGTCCCCCCCCCTCACACAGAATTCGTTATCCAACACGCGAGCACATTCTCTACATCTACACCAAAACACCAAACTGACGCCGATTTTTATGAGGCTTACATCAAAACGTTACCAATCGTGTATATTTAGACGTGTGCCCTGTTTTCCAGAAGTTGAATTAAATGTGAACAATGTCGGCAGTTCATTTCTTGGATCTTATTTGTTGGGGCGCGGCTTTGTCCACACTACCAACGAGACACGCCAAGTCCCTCGGCGACGGCCCAGGTGTCAGGAGAGTCAAATGGCTCTTGTGAGCTACCGGTTACATTAATACAAGGGTGATGGGTGCAACACAGTGTTTCTTCTTAGTCGGCCGCCTGAAATTATCAAGTGCCGCCGGTAGATTCAAGTAGTAACCCCATCCACTTATGCAGGATCTCGTGGCGCTAAATCACTCCAATATGTAAAAAAAAATGTTAGGCCTATGACAGAAATCTTTGCGGGGCTGTACTCAACACCTTCCCAACTTTTCATGGCGATTGGGTAAATGATGCAGTAATGCATACAAGACAGAAACATGTTTTTCACATGTACAACTGTATGTGGCCAGCTCACGCGTCGGATAACCTTCTGATATAGGGTGTGGCCATCCACAAATGACGTCACGTTTTTAACGACTTACAAAAAGTCAGACCCTCACCTGTCGTTGTTATCCCTCCCCCCTCCCCTCCTTCGTCCTCCCACATTGCGGGGTCTGGCGGCCTTGTAGTTCCACCCGTGATGGCCACAGAACGAAACGTTTTAAAATCTACGAATGAAAACTCCAACATCAGTATCGTGAAACCCAAGCACTCTGTGGCATAGACGCCATACCTCATCCACATCATTATCGGCACACAGGAAGACAATGTGGCAATCTTGTTACTGTAAGATAGAGGAATAATATGCACTAACTGCTAGACACATCTATGACATGTGTAGAATTCTCCATTTTAGATTTCATGGGCGGCATAAAATAAGTTGACGTTAGATACACCGCGGAACTACCCTGAACGGAATCGAGACACCAAGAGAATAATTCTTTGTTTGTTGTTTCCCATATTCAAATTTATAACAAATAAGGGAAGTAATACACATAATAACATTTTTGTGAGAGAACAACAGTAATAATACAATAAATTCTAAATTTTTTGTTTTATTTATTATACTTAACGCCGCTACTATTATTTTCTAAACTAGATTTTTGTCCAATTTTGATAATTTCTGGAATTTTAATAATTAATTTGCTCTATAACATGTAGAAAAGCATTAGCTTGAAGACCGGCTGCATTTGTCCAGATGGGAAACCACAGCTAAATTGACATCATCTAAATATTTTAAAAAATGTAAATTTTGGATCCCTTGTAATCAAGGGACAAGATCAAAATGTAAATTTTATGTTGTTGTTTGTATGTGACATGTAGCTGCTCTAGATGTTTGCAAACAATTATTATATTAGCAAAATTTGACACCATGATTTATTTAAGCCTTGTTTAAAACGTTTCTGTTCAAGAGACAAACTTGTTTTATTCTTATGTAAATTATTCTAGTACTCTCCTCCGTTCTCCATTTAATGAAGAATAAACTATTTGTATGCTAATACAAGTAGTATTGTACCTTCTCGTACACAGAGTATAGAGAAACTATTGTAATTGTGCACACTAATGTAATACAATTTTGACAGTTTGAACCGTTTTACACCTCTCTACTTTAACGTATACGCAGTATAAAGGATTTATTACAATCTAGCAAAAAAAAAATCTAAATCAAGATCTGGACAAACGTGGACATTTTAAAACTACCCGGAGCACAAAAAAAACGTAATTTTGTAATAATGTTAAGTATTATAGCAAATATATAGTTTTCTCTAAACTTTGGAACGGTTTCAAATAAGCGTAAGGCTGCGTTTACACTACACGTCGGCAGACCGAATTTCTGTTTCTGACAACAAGGCCGAACAACTGGAAAGCAAACAAAAAGTATAACCCAGTTCTATTGGTTACACTAGATCCGAACTCATCGTCCGAGTCGTCAGACCACGTCAGGCACCTGATGATGAACTTAAAATTTTGTTTCTGTTCTGACGGAAAACACATTCTGATGAAAATTTATCTGGCAGGGATAAACAAAAAATAAAATGGAGGACTTCAGTTTGAACAGAAAGTTGTAGTATTTGACACAGAGAAGCTGATTTTTACTTATCCAAGAGAGAAAATTAAAGTTCTGAAATAGCCGATTAACTCGGATGTACAAGTTAAGTAATTTATTTCACTTATTCACTTCATTGATTAATTTTTATCATTCATTCACATTTTTTTTTGGTTATCGACTCTCACTCAACTCACTCAACTCGTAAATCTAGATTTCTACACAATATCTAGATCTAGATCTAGATCTAGACTAGATCTAGTAGATTCTAGTCTAGATCTAGATCTAGAAAACTACATCTATTAATTCTTTTTTCTAGAGTCTAGCACTCTAGAGTGAATCTAGAATCTAGATCTAGATCTTGATTAAAAGTACTGAAGTAGAATTCAGATCTAGATCTAGATTTTTTAGATTAGATCTAGATCTCGTCATCGATTATAAGATTCTAAGATTAAGATTAAAATTAAAATAAAGATTATCATTAGGCTAAGACTACTAAGAAGAGGGTTAGAAGGGCTAAGACTAAGTAATAGAAAAGTAAGTAATCAGTAATCTCAGAATAGATCCTAGATCTAGATCTAGTAATAATTAGTAAAATAATTAGTAATTAGTTAGGCCTATTAAATATAAATAGGGCCTAGATCTACTCATTGAATTTAATATTCTCTAGTCTCTAGTAGACTCTCTAGGTTCTAAAATTGAATCTTTCATTCTAGTCTAGGCCTATCTAAATTCTAATATCTAGAATCTATGACATAGATCTATTTTTCTAGTATATAATGATTCTATCTAGATCTATGTAATAGGCCTAAATCTAATCTAAATTAAGAGTATAGATCTAGATTCCTGTACTGTAATGCAGTGGCGTAGCGAGGTCGGGTGTCACCCGGTGCGGCACTTAATGGTGTCACCCCCCCAGAGGCATAGAGACCTTTCAAATTTTCGATTTGCACCCCCCCCCCCCTCAAACTTTCGATTTGCACACCCCCCCCTCGAGTTTTCGATTTGCACCCCCCCCCCTCAAACTTTCGATTTGCACCCCCCCCCTCGAGTTTTTCTCTATATATTTTGCTATTTTTTGCCTTGGTGTCACCCCCCTAAATGGTGTCACCCGGTGCGGTCCGCACCCCCCGCCCCCCCCCCTCGCTACGCCCCTGCTGTAATGTTACTATATATTACTAGATCTATATATCTGTCTATAGGAATCAAGATCTAGGCTTAGGCCCAGACAATTAGATAATTATGATAGAAAAGTATATAAATTATATATATATAAATTATATGTATCCAACACATGATGAAAGTTACAATCAGTCTAAACTGATGTTTATATTTAATTCATTTCAGGTGCACAAGCCAAAAACCAAGTGGAAAAACCTACTTGATATATTTAGAAAGGAGGATATCAAGATTAGCAACAAAAGAGTAACTGGCAGTATAGCTCCAAACAAACCATGGACATATAATCAATTATCCTTTATGAATGATTGTTTCGCTTCCAAGCAAACGTTAAGCAGCATACAGGTACCTTCAACTTCAATTCAGTATCGAGTGAAACCATTGTTTAAAAGATATCTTTTTTTGATGACACTGATTCAAATTGTAGTCAAGTTGTGGAAGAAGCAATTGCTAAAGATCCTGACCCAGGATTACTTAATTTTGTGTCATGCCTGAATAAAAAAAATTAATTGAAAAATGTTGCTTACTGTTTAAAAGATATCTTTTTTTGATGACACTGATTCAAATTGTAGTCAAGTTGTGGAAGAAGCAATTGCTAAAGATCCTGACCCAGGATTACTTAATTTTGTGTCATGCCTGAATAAAAAAAATTAATTGAAAAATGTTGTTTACTGTTTTATTTTTTAAGAGGTCTTCAAATGCAGGCCTAAATTGTAATGGAGTATTGCCTATACCAGTAGATTTTATAATAATAATTCAATGAGGCCTGTGTCTTATGAGATGTATTTCTGTTAATCATGCTATTCAAACATGTTTTACAGATTTGCTTAATAAATTAAAACAATGAATTATGCTTTTTAATTAAATGATCAAAAACCAATACCATCTTAGTTTGTAACAATCTAACATGTAACTGACATTGAGTTAGAAAATTAAGTCTAACTAGTAGGCCTAACTGGTGGCAATGGTGGAGGCCCTATGTTCTATAAGGAGCAAGGAGGACTAAGTCAAAGTAAGTCAAGTAGGCCTAACTAGTAGGAATTATTGATATTGATCAGGTGATTTGGCCAATGATTTTATTATTATCTATGAATAATACAAATAAAACAAACATAACAACAAAAAGAAGTTTATTTCAATTAATAGGTTAATGGACAATTCGACATTAGTAGGCCAATCCAGTTATAGTGAGGGGCCTATCTGTAAATGAAATTATTTTAATTTAGCACTAAAAGCAGGCCAGAACATAGAATCAAGACCTTATAGTTATAGAATAGATCTACTCCCCACTACTGAGGTATTGCAACCAAATTTATAGCTTAGATTTTACTTGTTTTAAATGTATAGATTACATAGAACACAATTGTAATAATGAATGGTATTTAGAATAAGCCTTACTCAACTTACTGTAACAAAATATCTTATTTAATAAGAATTAACTGTACAAAGACACTTGCCTCAATGTCAAAGCCAAGCGTTTCTTTGGAGAAATGCATTTCCTATATGATTTTCTCTTTCCTTTTCATTAAGCAATATAATCTTGGAAGCATCGTTGTTTTCTGCCAAAAAAATGAATCTGCATTTGTTCGTCGAATTTTTGTATTGAAACAATGCCTGCCGGTGGTCAGACATACGTTCTGACGGGCTACAGTGTAACCGCTGGGGCGCACCCCTCTTCGGCAGATTGGACAACACCTGACGTCAGATGAAAAAATTCGGTCTGCCGACGTATAGTGTAAACGCAGCCTAACTGGTGCTTACTTTAATTCCGGTTTAACAAATGCCTATATTTTTCGTACCGTCACAGTTTGGTTTACGAAATAATATTTATGTATTTCGGATATAAAAAAAAAAGATAATAATTTGAAACTTTTATTATCATATTTGATAATTAAATATACTCGCATAAAAGGTTAGAAAAACGCGGGTTTTGTCTACAGAAACCTTATTGTTACTTTAGAATATACGAGAAAGTTTAAAGGAGATACCTCCCGCTTTATTTTGTTTTGACCCAGAAACTACTAAACCAGCATGGCCGACACGGCCAAGTTTAGCTTTAATTAAAAAAAAATGTCAAGCTATAATGGTTAATTTAATATAGACATCATTAGTAACAGAACAGTTGAAGTAACCTTTGTACGCGGCAAAAGAATGACAACAATGTGAAACACGGCATTTAAAACTCAGTAAAGTAAAGTGATCAAAGAACAATACATTGAGATAGACATCACAATTAAATATGGGGACGTTAAACTATCGTACATAATGATGTCAACGGTAAAAAGGTGAAGAGCCCCCATGTCAAAAATCAGTCAAATAATGGAATTAAGACGGTAGGAGGGTCCGAGTCACCTGTCCATCGAGAATATTGTAGTCAAGGTAAGATGGCGGCATAACACTTTTACCTTCACACATGACTAAGTCAAACAAAATATATTAAAATTAATTGCTCATATTAGCTTTTGTGGCCTCAGAACGACTGGGGACAAAAAAAACCGCAAAGATTGCTAAATATTTAGGTGAAACATATCACTGAATAACAACTATACAAAAGGAACTCGTAGATGTACGTGTATATACTCATTGAGCTGTTAGAGAACGCTCTCTTAGAACTGTGAGCTGGCCACAGACCGAAACGTTTTAAAATCTACGAATGAAAACTCCAACATCAGTATCGTGAAGCCCAAGCACTCTGTGGCATAGACGCCATACCTCATCCACATCATTATCGGCAAACAAGTAGACAATGTGGCTATCTTGTTACTGTAAGATAGAGTAATAATGTGCTTTAATTGCTAGACACATCTATGACATGTGTAGAATTCTCCCTATTTCATTTCATGGTGGCGTAAAATTAATTGACAGGAAATACATAGCGGCACATACCCGGAACGGAATAGAGATAACACGATAATATTTCCTTTTGTTAGTTATTTCCCATAATAAAATGTATAGCAACTAGGGGAAGCAACAATTTAGGTAATTTTTTTGTGTGCAAACAAAATTAAAAATAAAAAATAAACTAAAATGATGTTTTAAATGTATTATATACTATATAGTTATTAATATTTTCTTAACTTATATTATCTAAACTTTTGTCCATTTTTTTTTAATTTTTAATTTCTGAATAATTATTTTGCTCTAAATTATATAGAAAAACATTAGCTCAATGACCGGCTGCATTTTTCCATATGGGAAACCACAGCTTTATAGATGTTTAGAGATATTCCTATATGTTATTAATTTTGGATCCCTTGAAAATCAAGGGACACAGAATAAAGTGTATGAGTTTATGACAGGGGTCGGCAACCTTTTGAAGCGGAAGAGCCAAAAGTTACAATTTTCAAAATTTACCTGGTTTTAAAGAGCCAGTAACATTTTTTTTATTACAATTTTTTATTTTTTTATTAAGATTATTAGCATTTGTTCAAGGAGCTGGAGAGCCGCATCTTGGTGTCAAAAGAGCCGCATGCGGCTCGCAAGCCGCAGGTTGCCGACCCCTGCGCTAGACCACTCCGTCCTTTTTTTTTATTGCTTTTTTTTTATTTTAATTTTTTTTTTTAAAACTAAATTAAAGAAAACGACCAAAAAATTGTCTAATTACTCCAGTTGGAGGTCGTATTATATTTATATACTCTCATGCCTACAAATTAAATAAAAGTAACATCTTATGTTTTTTTATTTTTACTGGAGCTAAATGATAATTTTATACGTTTAAAAAAGATAGATTAGAACAAATAAGTCGCATGGTACAGAATTTATTTGTATTTATGTAGCAGTAGTGCACGTATTTTTTTCTATTACTGATGTATTATATTTATTTTAATAGCAATAGGAAATATAGTTTTAAGTTACTTCCCTTGTTGTTTTTTTTTAATTTATGAAATGTAACTAGGAAAAATTAATGTCAGTGTTTAACATCTATCTATCTATATATATATATAATTCTCTTCTGGGAGCCGTTAGAAAACAAGCTGCAAGCGCGCCTTACAGTCCCCTCTCTTCCTCTCTATCGCTACCACCCCCCACCCCCACCCCCTCACATGGTCTGGTGAGCTGTGGTTCACGCTGTTTACATTTAACAATCATTGAGACGGGTTTGGTGACGGCTATTAGGGGCAGATAATTTAGTTTGAAACTATTTTAAACTTAGAGGAGGTAACTAAGAGGAGGCTGCTTTCACGTGGGGGGGGGGGGAGGGAGGGGGGGTTAGTGTTTTTAAGCAAATATTTCCAGTGGCAGCATTGGTACTGTCGAATTCAAAAAATTAAAAAATACTGAAAAGTAGAAAAAAAAACAACTAAATAGCGGCGTATGATACGCAGCGGGTCGGCTCGTATATATAATTCTCTTCTGGGAGACGTTAGAAAACAAGCTGCAAGCGCCTCCTTACAGTCCCCTCTCTTTCTGTCTATCACTATCACTACCACCCCCACCCCACCCCCACATGGTCTGGTGAGTTGTGGTCACGCTAAATTAAATGTTTACAAATCGTAAAGCCGGGTTTAGTGACGGCTATTAGGGGCAGATAATTTAGTGTGAAACGATTTTCAACTTACAGGAGGTAACTAAGAGGAGGCTGCTTTCACAAGGGGGGGGGGGGGGGGGTGTAGGGTCGGGGTTAGGGGAAAGGGAGGGTTAGTGTTTTAAAGCAAATATTTTCAGTGGCAGCATTGGTACTGTCGAATTCACAAATTATGAATTACTGAAAAGTAGAAAATAAAACAAATAAATAGCGGCGCATGACACGCCGCGGGTCGGCTCGTGTTAAACTATTTCTCACCATAGCATTATTATGTTCCATCTACTTTATACCCTAAACCAGGGGTCGGCAACCTTTTGAGCCGGAAGAGCCAAAATTACAATTTACAAAAATTCTCAGTCTTTAAAGAGCCACAATTTTTTGGTATTTGTTAACGATTAGGTAAATAAATTTGATTTTTTATTTGAAATAAATAGCGTTAAATATGAACTAATATTGATTCATATAAAAACATTGTTTGCACAAAAAGTGTTTTAGCTAGCTGCTATGATTAAGCTAGTTATCAAATAATATAACTATAGGACAATCCCAGTCCGCTTTTTTTTTCTTTCTTTACGGGAACCACTGGCTTAGGAAGTGTCTCCCATTAGCCAGTCAGGCCTCAACACGGCCTACTTCGACTCACTGGTTTGTATGTCGGTTTGATTACCGTGTATCGGTTGCTTCTGTGCTTCGGGTCTCACTGGGCTTATCTTCCACCCTACTTGTACCCCGCAGTCCAGTACCTGGCTCAACCGTAAGAGGCTAATAACTAAAAACTTCGTCACTCAGGTCAATTAATGCATACTCCCAGGTAGATGAATGGATTTTAAATAAAATAATATTTCCAATTCAACGATATTCGAAAAAGTCGACACTTGAGCAGTGGAAAGCATAGCATTGTTGCCACGGGGCTGGCTACAGCACGACTGTGGGGCTGGGTCTGGTGCCCAACCGACTGTCAGCTCTCCATTTACTTTCTACCTCACCTATTCTC